TACATTGCTCTCCTGTGTCCCAACTTCTGTAAAATATGGGTTATGGTTGGTTCCTGTATATGGCACTCAGTAATTTTACAGAAGAGAAAACTGCACCACTGCAACTATCCACACAACACTTAATACAGTGAGGTCTTAGTCTGTGCTAGGACTCCAGAGTGCTATTCTGGGCATTATGAACCTGATTATATTACACACAGAGCTCAGATGGCTCAGAGCCACACTCAGGATATTAACTGTTTCTATTAAGCTTTGCATTTAGAGATCCTTCTGTCAGAGGAGGGGGGCAATGCTGGACGAGCTGGCGTTCCCACAGCAGAGCAGTGTGTGTGAGCATGGTTAGGGAGTATTTTGTGTTTCAATTGCACAGGGGGTAACCCGAGTTCCATAGCTTGCTAATTTATGGGTGCTCAGTGTAATAATCTTTTCAATGTACTTGTTTTGTAGCTGCAGGTGTTGAGAAGGAGACACTTACTGATGTAGATGTACAGGAGTGCAGGAGAAACCTTACAAAGTGCTATAAATGTGTCGTAAGGGGAAATCCGTACATCGTGTGTCATCTGGCAGAGGCTGTGATAAAGTGGCATTCACTGTGATTATTTGTGATTCTTGACAGCCTGTGCCCCTGAAAGAGTGTTTTAAAGACTTGTTTTAGTTTGTGATGAAGGTGGCTTTAGGAATAGTGAAGGTCCTTCCATTTCTCTTTAAAAAAAAAAGTTTCTTTTCATGGTTTTGTTTTGCGCTATTTCAGATTTTGTAAAAACAAACACCCTGAAAGCCCAAACAACAACAATAATAAAAGAAACCCTTTGTGGATCACCTCTGTGATCCAAACAAAGTTGATGAGTTTCTCACTGTTTGAATACACATTGTCTGCCAGGTGGGAGCTGTGCGGCTCTTCCTTCCCTCATCACCCTGCAAGTGCAGGAAGAGATAAGAGGAATTTATTTAATCCTGCCCTCACACTGGCTGAATTTGAAGCACACTACCAGACAGGTATGCTGAATTTGGAGCCTAAAAGGCTGCCTTGGGTAGGGAAGGAAGGCAGAGTGAATGGGTATGGATATGAGTAACATATCCTGTTAGGAATATGAGGCACTGGGATAGTGCTAGTGGGAGAAGAGGGATGCTGGACATGGTAGCACATGCTGTGGGGAAAGCAACCTCTCTTCTTGCCCTGCAGGTAATGAGAATTTGCCTTTGCAGGGCTGGGGGTTAAACCCTCTACCCAACAAAACTGCAGTTTGCAGCTCCTTTCTCTGTAGCGGGAGAGATGAGCTATTGAGCAGGGACTGGCTACTGTGCAGCCAAGTTATTCTTTGCAGGAGACAGAAACAAGTGGATGGAGGTATCCACGTGCCATGTGGATCCATGTGCCACTGTTCAGTTCATGCTTTGGCTGGTGGAGGGGGGCTGAGTTTGCATGTGTTTCACTGAAGAATATCCCCTTTCTCAGAAAGGAAACAGCTGACATCTTGACCTTGGAAAGGCTTGCACATCTTTACCTTTTGAAAGCATTGCTGTCCAAATGTGGGTCTATAGTGCAAGAAATGCATGTGATGACCTTGGTCTTCCTGTGCCTTCTTGGCTACACTTTTTGTCTGGGATGCCAGTGACCCTGAGATCTGGACATTTCCCTCTGCTGTTTTGTGTTAAAAATGAAGAACGAACTGTAATGTGTGGAAGCAGTTTGTGTGATGGAACCCATCAAAATAAACTTGAGGGGATGGTGGTGGTGGTTGAGAGAGCTTGGCTGAAACCTGGTAATTGGGCTGGGGATAGCGAGAAGGAAAAGGGCAGCCAGGAAGGGATTGAATGGAAATCAGTCCCCAAAATAAATATTGCATGAGTGGGGCATAAAGAGTCTCCTTCAAATCAGATTCTGTGCCTGAGCCTTCCTCCAGAATTTCCTGCAATTTAGACAAATGACCAACTTCAGATTTTTTAAGTGGTGTTTGTGCTGAACACTTGCAGCCGTGCGCTCCCATCCAGCTGCTGAGCAGAAATCCTCCTTCTTCAGTCTTGCTGGGAGCTGCTCTGCGCTTTTTTGTGGCAGCAGCTTTTTGCAATAGGAGCTCCCCCCCGGCCCAGGATGGCTTTTTCTGTGGAAGAAGGCAGCGCAGCCAGGCAGGCATTATCCCCTTGCCGGAAGGAGGGACCGGGGTCCCTGGGGAGGAGGGACGGGGAGCGAGTGATTCATTGCAGCTGGCTGCAGTTTGGCCTCCTCTCTCTCTTTGCCCTGGGTGCCAGGGAGTGACAGCTTGTGGGCAGCAGGCCAAGCTGTGAAAAGAGGAGTGTGTGAGGCCTTTAGCTTTCTCATGCTTTATCAAGCTGCAAAGAATAGCTCGATATTCAGCCAGCGTTGGTGCAGGTCAGGAGAATGGAAATGCGAACTTAACTCCTGACATGCTGGCTGATGGCTGACCGCAGGCTCCGCGCCCACGAGGGCGGCTTTGTACCGCGGCGTGTGGGCAAAAGGGAGGAAAAGTGCCTTGGTGACAGGGCAAAGATAACTTTTTGTTAAGTGGGGCAGCCTCCGGGACCTGCTGGGAGAGTGGAAACTTGAATAAAAGGCTTTCCTCTTGTGGCTTGCTGGCTGCGTGCTGGTGGAGGATGGAAACACTGCAGAGCAGAGCTGCAGGAATGACGAGCGTCCTGGGAAAGTGAGAGGGACTGTGGTGGACGAGTGGCAGGTCTGTCCCTTCACTGCTGGCACAGCACTGGGGGCTGTGGGGCCAGTGCAGAGAGCAGGACGGGCCATTCCCGGGCTGTCCCGGTGTGCCGAGGTCCTGCCAGCCGGAGCGAGGGGCTGCCCGCCGGCGCGCAGGGAGTTAAGCTCCTCACCGCCCGGGGGTGAGCCTACATGGGGGTGTTGAGCTCCATTCCCACGGCTTTTCCTTTCTGAGGGCTGGGGGAGGGATCGCCTGGAACAAGTGAAATGCCTGGAGGCTGGAAAACAGCACCCCGGCCCCTCTGGCCTTGTGTTGGTCTGCGCTCCACGGCAGGCTGGGCAGGGGCTGCCAGCCAAGGCCGGGGTCTGTCGCTGCGGGGCAAGAGCCTGGGTTATTTCTCTCCTTTAGGCAAAGAGAGATGGCTTTGCAGGCAGCAGGGTGCCTGCCTAGGGACTGAAATAACAGAATTCTCAGCTGGAAGGACGTGAGGTAGAAATGAAGCCCGAGCAGTGCTATGGGCAGATCGCAGTGCAGGTTAACACACGGGTGTTGTGGCTGAGGGGGAGCAGCAGCGCTGGGTTCCCTGCTGCACATGCACGTTTCTCAAAGGCAAAGGCAGCAGAGTCCTTTCTTCCCGATGCTGACTCTGCCTTCTCCTCCTGCATCACTTTGAGCTGCTGAGTTGAGGTGTTTGAAGCCTGAGGAGCAGGAAAGGGGCAGGTGAAAGTCTGAGAGGCTGAGTAAGGGAGTTAGGGAGTGCTCAGAGCTCAGCCTGCGGCTACCTGCGAGCCTAAATCCCACTCTTTCTCCATCAGCAGTGCAGGGGTGTGGGAGAGCAGGAGAGCTTTGCCACATCCCAGTTTGCTGTGGAGCTGTATCTGTGTGAGGTACTAATCCCAGCCAACACCTGTCTCCCACCAGAGGGAGAAGGGAGTTTGCATACCTGCTCAGCTCCTAGAAAACTCTGAAGTCCCCTCTGAGGTATAAGGTGTGCAGTCCCTATTCTCAACAGCTTTTGAATTCAAGGCAAGGTGAAGTGATGTGAGCAAATGGGACCCAGTAGCAGCATAAAGCAGAGATGAGTTGTGGGCTCAGAGCGCAGTTACACAGTTTGATTCTGCTGGGCTGTGTTTGTGCTGTACAGACTGGGGTATGCCAAAAGGCCAGCAAAGGTGTGGTTAGAGACTGGATTTTTGCTTGTGCATTGGGTGTCTGGCTTTGCATCTGCCCCAGATCTTTTTTGCAAAGAGTGAAGTACTGTGATCCTCCCACTTGCTGTGCTGACTCCTGTGGCAGGAGGATCTGAAAGGGAGAGGGTTTGGGAAGCAGTATTGCCTGTGTGGGCAGAGGCTTTGTGTAGCTTGGGTTAGCAGCCAGATATACAGACCATAGTGATAAAACGACAGGGTGCAAATATTCTGCAAATACCAGACTCGTGGTGGATCCTGTTGGTTGTTAATGCCAAAATCCTAAGATTGGTAGGCAGGAGCCCTTGTTGTCTTTTCTGCAGCTAATAATGGTCGCCGAGCTGTGCTGTGAGTGTTCTGCAGCTCTTTGCTCTGTCCATTTATTCCCCCAGCACTGGGGAATGTGGCTGGAGTGGGAGCTGGGGTCCCAGGCGGATCTGAGCCCTGTGCAAGGCAGACCTGCAGCGGATGCACAAAGAGAAACTCTCGCTGGCTGCGAGGTAGCTTGGGACCCAGGTGCAGCGAAGGCACAGCGAGAGCTGGCTCCCTGCAGGGACAGGGGGTGTGTTCCCATTGTGCCTGTTCCGGTTTGCTCCTGTCTAGCCTCTTCTCATTATTCTCGCCTTGAGCTGTCTCAGGCCCAAAGGCAACGTGCTGCAGAAAGCTCTGTGGGCTTTCCCTTGAGAGATGTGGGGTCCTTGGAGAGTGGCTGTTCAAGGGAAGCGCTGCAGTGGGCTGAATTGAGGCTGTTTCAGGCTGCACAGTTCTGAGCTAATCTCCCAGAGGCAGAGACATTACTCACCAATCAGGAATGTGTCTGTATTTTTCCTAATGAGAACAAAACATTTTATCCCTGTTCATTAGCAGAGAGTTAGCGTGTGCAGTTGCTATGCCAACAGACTCCTCTCCTCCGCAGACGCACTGGGGGTGTCCTCCATGCCATGGTTAGAAGGGTGAACAGGAAGGCTGGTTCTGGCAAGAAAAAGATCCCATTGTTTTCCCAGGGCTGCCTGGACTTTGTGCAGCTGGGCAGACCATGCCTTCTCGGAGGAAGGGAACCACAGCGGGAGTCAAGTGCAACAGATTTAATTTATTGGAAAAATAGTCTTTGCATTTCATGCTCTGTTGTTTTTTCCAGCTTGAGGCACACTCCTCAATAAGAGAAATGAAGGTGTCTCAACGTTCCCAGGAGTCCAGATGGTAAGCAAAATGTGCCGGGAGCCAGCACTGGGATGCCCATGGACAGCTGCAGCCCGCTGGGCTCCTCCGTGCTCCTGATCATCTCCGTGTGTGCGGCCCCTGTCATGCTGGGCAGCCTCTGGATGCTGCTGCGTGACGAACCCACCTGACCAACTGCACCACCTGTGATCAGTTGGACGAGTTCTCCAGGCACGTGGTCTACTGGAAAGAGTGAGTGGCTGTATGTGGCAGTGTTCACTTGTTCCCTTTGCAAAGAGAACGTTCTCTTTATGCAGGGAAATCCTGTGAAGGATAAAGGACATCTCTTCAACAGAAGCTCTGTTCTGTAGAGTTCTGCTGTAAGCACATGTATTTACTCCAGAGGTTGCCTATTTGCTTGTCATTTTTTCCTTTGTCACCCCAACTTTCTTGAGAGAGTGATTGGGAATTGTGGGTTGCAATGCTACCAAAGCCAGGCCACTGTACACCTTTTGCAAGTCTTGGCACCTCTGGTGCTGCACTTGAAATATAAAAACTAACTTTTAAACTTTGAATTTTCTGTAGAAGGGAGTTAATTTAACCTACAGACAGAAACAAACCAAAAAAACCAAAACAAAACCGTGAGTTTCTGATGGTGATCTATAAGTAGAAATGGGCCTGTGAGTGTTGCCAAATCTGAAGACAGACTCCTGGAGCAGGAGTGATGTTCATCTCTGTCTGTCAATCACCATGCAGTGTGATGAGCTGGCTGAGCTTTGTGGTGTTGACAGCTATAGACCCTTGAAGAAATGTCTCCCTGAAACTGAATTCTTTCAGGCTGCTTCCTATTAAACAGGCTAGTTACAACTCTGCTGTCAGTTTGCCTGACGAAGCACTCTGTAGGTGAATACATGCAATTTGAATATGGGAATTTGAATATCAAATGTAGGGTGGTAGACCAGAGATCCCAGACTGAATGAATTGCTGGAGATCTGCAAATCTGCATGAACTTCTGTCTGGGAAGTGAAACCCTGGCACCTGGATATTAGGAGCTGATGTAGATGAGTCACTGACTTTTGCACTGGAGAGATGAGTATCACGTTAGAGCACTGGGAGTACAGGAGCCCTTCATCAGAAGTATGTCTGCTTGTTGGATTTGCTGCTCTAACATCAGGAGAAATGAAATCAGCAGAAATAAAAACAATGAACAGAATGAGACAACAACCCCCAGCCCAGACCTCTCTGGGGTGCAACCTGAAAGTTTGGTAGTGGACCTGGATGGAACTCTTCAGTAATAAAGAGCAAGTTTTCAGAAAATCTCTTTCAATCTGGGGCAATCCAAGAATAAATCCTGAATACGTATAACAAATGTGCAAACATTGGAGAGTCTGGTTGCCTCAGCTTTGCATTGCTCTGGGTGGTTCCAGTAAAACCATTAAATCAAAGCAGTTTGAAATAGGGAGTGAGTAAGTACTTGAGATTACTTGAATTCAGGCCAGTCTCTTCTGGATCCATGCTTTCAGGGTACATAAAAAAAATACAAGATCGTAAGGAGGCCAGAGGTTTGTATGTTGTATTCTTTGAGATACTGAGGTGATTCTGTCCAGATGCTATTGAAAAAGTGCTCCAGCAGAAGTGCACTAGAGGACATGCTTTTTAGTACCTTTAAGTGTGAAAGATCATGTCTGAACAAACTAACTTCTGAAATGTGAGTTACGGTTATTATCTGAGTCGCGCTCCACTTCATTCCTGTGCAGCCGGAGTAGCGACTTGGTGTTACCTAGGAGAGTGTTATTTGTTCTCTCCTCTTCCCTCCCCTCCCTTTTAAGCAGTTCAGGGACTGATTTTCTGCCCTGTTTTGTGTGTACCACTAGTTTTTAAGAGTAAAGATAAACACACAACTGCTCTGCTGTGTGCAAGGCAAGAATTCTTCAGGAGAAACATTCACCTTTGCCTCTGAGAACATCTCAGGTGCTCATAGAACCCTAGGAGAAGGGTTCTTTGTTTATATCAGGATGAGTTATGGGCCATTTGTGGGGTGAGGTGTTCCTTCTAACCCTTAGAGTGTGGTTCAAAACTCTAAGCTGTGGGGTAGGTTTATATTTTTAAGAAGCTGTTAGCACTGAGTATTGTAACTCTAGGTAATGTACTGTTCTGTTGGGTTTTAATGGCCTTCTTTATCTTTCTTAATTCCAGTTACACTTCTACATTTCTGCATCTTTAAAAAACACTTATTTGACTCTTAATAGTAAAACTGGCAAAGGACAGGGTAAAGCCAGGAAAGTTATTTCAGCCTGACAGGAAGGTTTAGGTTGCTTAGTCAGCTAAGCATGTATTATTAACAAAGTTCTATATCTCATAAAGAATGTGGGAAGCAATTAGTGCATTTGTGAAAGAAATCACTCAGGATTTTTGGGAATCATGAGACAAACAGTCTCCAAACCCAGATATTCTTATATGACTCTGCAGGAGAACAAAGTCTGGTAACAATATTGTTCTGTGTAGCATCAGGAAATCTATAAATACTCTGCCCATACTTGAGGAAAAACTGCTGGATTTAAATGTCCATGGAGAATGTATGACAGAGTAAAGCTCTCACATGATCTTGTGAGGGATCTACCCTTCATCAGGGCAGGCTGATTCACCCATAAGATAATTTGTATTTCAAAAGAAATAACAGGGAGAGAAGGTTTTTTAAAAATGCACCCTGTTCTGGTAGAAGGGTGCAGCTGAATGCTGTGGCTTGAAAGTAAACTTGCTTTGAACAAACTCAGTTTAAAGAGTTAGGCTGAATATTTTAAAAGTGAGCTACCAGCTGGGCAATTCACTATAGAAGTGGGGAATCCCTGCTGTATTTGATAACCATCACAGTAGTTCCTCCAGTTCTTATGGAAGTTGAGTTTTCTACAGCTTTAGGTAAACCATTGCCATCTTGATAGAGGTATCTTCAGTTTTTAGAAATGGAACAGCAGCAGTAGTGAACAGAGGTGAGTGTTACCTTCCATACAAAGCACAACAGAATAAGTTTGGATTCTTCCACCTGAAAAACAATAAATTACAGTTATCTTCAATTTCTGAATCAGCTGGAAAGTTTAGAAGGGGAGCAGCCTGGTTTTTTTTTTCCTTTTCCATTAGAAGTATGAGCAGGTGTTGCATGGAGTAAGCTTAAAACCAAGGAACAACTTAGTCCTTGATGTGTGCAGTTAACCTGGGAAGCTTCTTGCCACAGGATGTTGTGAATGCCAAATATCTGAGTGTATGTGAGGCCATGGGGCAAGTCTGTAGAAGAAGGAGCTATTGAAGGTTACTAAATGCATAGAAACCACCTTTTTCCCCAGAAGTCCCTGAGCTGCTCATTGTTGAAGCCTGGGAGAGTATTCAGAGAGGTAAAGTGCTACTGTGGGTTTGCTTCAGTCTGATGTTTCAGGCCAGAGCCAGACAAGTGCAGCCTGGTTTGTCAGCATGGGGTGGGAGGGGGATGCTAATAAAACTGGTAAAAAAAGAGACTGGCACAGCTTGTGTTCTAGGTTGGTTCTGTGCTGCTTGTGATGTACAGCATGCACCTCTTGCTTGCTGAAGGCACTGCCTTGGGCTGCTGGAGTCTGCAGGCTGTTGACTTGAATTTAGAGAGGTGGAGAGTGTATGTCTAGAAACTACACAGGCAGGAAAAGTGGTGTGAAGATAATATTGTAAGCTGAGAAGCTGACTTTCCCCTTTTCTCTGTGGCAAATGCTATTCCTGCTATTATGGAATAGTAGGTTTTAGTGAGATACAGAGACTGCCTTACTGCTGATAGCCTACATCTTACTTCTGTTAATTTCCCTCCTTTGAAAGGGTGTTTCTTGCTTCGTAATGGACTCCAAATTAATTTAAGCTAAAATGGTTGATAAGCTGATGCATGAACAGTAAAACCTCTGTTCCAAAGCTTTTTCAAACTAAAAATGTCATGGCCTACGTGAGGTTCATACTCTTCAGAAGTACTCAAAACACTGGTCCTATTTTGGGTCCTGTCTAAACATTTAAAAATAACTCAGAAACAGGGCTCACTTCTAGATGCTTCACCCTTGAAAGCCAGCTCTTGCAGTTAGTTTTAGATGCTTACCCAAATGTGCAGAGGGCACAGTACAGAAAGCCCTAGTTGTTCCTTTGAACGTTTAATTTCAGAAGGAAAAGAACAACGTCAGGCTATCTGTTATTTTGTCTCTAGAGACATGGTCTCTGCTGTTTTGAGTTTTGGGGATGGGAGGTTTAAAACTTTTTGTTGACTGTCTTTGCTGCTGTGATCCCTGGGGAGCAGCTATGCAGAGCTGAGCAGTAGCAGAACCACGGTGCTGTGTATTCTTGGAGGCAGGCTCTTAGGACTGAAAACTGAGTTGGTGTGTTTTGGGAAGCTGTAGCCTCTCTCCAAGGATACAGAAACAGTCTTGTGTGCATATCATGTTCTGGAGTGAGTATTACTCCATGGAGTGGCTGAGGAGTTGCATGCTCAGATTGCAGCTGTGGGGAATACAGACAGACCTGGGGCTGAGGGAGAATCCAGGTGGAGGGGGCTGAAGTTCCTTTCCTGTTGATTGTTATCCCCCTTTATCTTGACTTAGTCAGCTGTGATGCAGGAAGACGTTTCTATCCCAAACACTGTCTCAATCATGCAGAGTAGCAGTGTGCTCAGTTGTTACCCCATTTACAGAGTATCTTTCCTGGTTTGTTCTCACTTTCTCAATTATTGTTTTCATCAGTAGCTTGGTTAAAGCAGTGACTCTCAGCTTGCTCCTGTGTGTGCTGGACCTGTCTGCCATTCTCCAGATAGTCTGTCCAGATTAGTTTTAGTTTGAACCCATCTTTAGCCAGTATGATCTTTTCTATTCCTAGCTGATCCTTGATTTTAACTAGTGTATTTCCCACTAAGCCCTGAGAAGATTTAAACTAAAACTTTTGTATGAGGCTAAATTTGTGTCAGCCCCACCATGGACTCCTGGGTTGACATTGGGTGGCTGATTGCTCAATTTGGTCCATGTATAAGTCTGAAAAGTGCTGTCTGAGCCACACTTTGGTGGGATTTTGATTCGTTATCTATGCATGGCAGAGTAAACTGTTTCCTTTCCCAGAGGAAGGCACAGTCCCTGCCATGTCTGTGGAGTACACAGCTTAAAATGACAGAGGGCTGCCTGGAACTGGGACAGTCTGCAAACAGAACTGTGATGACCACAGGCTATGGTTTATCCTTCTAGCACAGTTGGGCATACTTCTCCCTT